CTCATCCCATTTTTTGCAGACAATAGCATCTTACAATATTATTCTATCATGCAGCTCCAATGAAACATTTTAAAATTTGAAATCATTTAATTAATTTATTCTGAAAAGCACTTTAATCTCAAACTGCTGAAATACACTGAATTTTACAACTAAAATTTGGCAATGAGTCTAGAACAGCAAAAGAAAGACATGGTTATAATAATGAAGTCATAACAAATAGAACATTACTATAATGTCTTTGAAAAACAGAGTATTTTAATAAATCATGGAAAGGAGTTCAGAGACACCCTATACTAAGGGTCCCCAACCTGTTGGGAACCAGGCCACGCAAGCAACGGGCAAGCATGCAAGTGCATGAAGGGCCATTTGCGCAATGGTGGGCTCATGCTTGAAACCATCCCTTCTCCCTCCCCTGGTGTTGCCGCTGCTGGACCACGGAGCCAGAAAGGTTGGGGATCACTGCCCTATATAGTAGTGGCATAATGACAGCAAAATGACAAAGCACATGTGATAATATCACAATTGCATTCTTACATCACACTTTTTGATGCAACCACATAAAGTAATGGTATTTATATGATTTCAACATGCATGTGTCATATGTCCCTCCCACATATGCCCAGGCTATTCCTTAGTATATATTTCTCTTCAAAAAGAAAGTTATACATATGATATCCTTGTTGCAAATTTACAAAATGAAGGTACAGGAATTAAGCAAAATATCAAGATAAAGTCAACATCACATACAAACTATTTCCCCTAGAGCAGGAGAGGCAAATTTTATGAATCAGGAGCCAAATTTTTGATCCGGTAATTATTTTAAGATAACTAGGGCTATGAAGGGATAGGTTAACAATTTGTTGAATTTCTGAGGACAGGGGGAGGATTTTAAATTTTTTCTTTTAAGGGTTCTGATGATGAGATTGTTGAAAGTATATATTTGAAGTCTTAGGTCATTGCATTTCCTCCATCTGCATCAGAAAAAGGAAAGTTGTGCCATGTATCAGACTAGAATATAGATTTAGGGAGAGTTACACGCAGGCTGTAGATTGCTTATACTTATCCCACAGTAAAATGTTACCTTGTAGTCAAATAAAACAATTCTTTTTAGAAAATAAGATAAAGAAACCTTATCCTGGAAATGATAGACCTACAACAATTAGATTTTAGGCCAAATTATTTTCCGTATTTAAATGATACATGCGTAATATTTCTGCCAATGACTATTATTCAGGATCGCCAACACAAATAATTAAAACAACGTAGTTAAAAATTCTGTAAAATTTTGTAAAACTACAAAAGGGTCACCTTCTCTCAACTTCCAAATCTGATTCCAAGCCAAAAGCTTGGAGCTCTGGTGGCTCAGCAGACTAATTAACATTCACTTACATCTGCTGCCTGCAATTACTGTAAGTTCAAATCTCACCAGGGTCAAGGTTGACTTAGCCTTCTATCCTTTCTAAGGTAGGTAAAATGAGGACCCAGATTATGAGGGCAATAAACTGACTTTGTATAAATATACAAAAGTATGAAGGCTATTGGCATTGTAAACCGCCCTGAATCTCCGGAAAAGGGCGGTATATAAATCAATTTAAAAAAAAAAAAGCTTGCCTAATGTTTTAGGATTAGGACTAACCTAACCAGTGCAAGGTGGAAGTGCTTGGGAGCATCTTAGCTCTCCTTCTCTTCTTCAGAACGAGCTCCCAATTGAGCTTTTGCTGTTTAATGCTCAGCATTTTATCAGGAGTGAAAAATACCTAATTTTCGGCATTGGAATATTGGCTTTATTTTTTTTTTATATTAGCCTTTAGTATTATCTGGACAAACACAAACTGGATTGTGTCTAAGCATCTTTTTTTTTTTAATTGGAAAATCAAGTCCCCCCCCCCTCCCTAGAAAATGCCTAACAGATGCATACTGCCAGTATGGTTTATGCTGCACTATGCTACATCATTAGTCTGGCTAAATATTTGAAAATTCAAATCATGCTATTCAACATGAAAAAACTGAAATGGTATAATTTTATTATCTTACACCATTTTATAGACCCATTTTATTACTTCATTTTTCATACATATGTAACCATTATCATGCATTAAAATTCTCCCGCAGCACCAACAGAAGATACCTATCCAAAAGAGAGTACTAAAGTTGCAAATTATGTTACAGAATGCCTAATTTACTCTATGAAGTGTTAATGAATACACATTCTCAGTGACGGACATGCCAGCATAACATATATATTTCTCTTCAATGTATTCAAAGTCATTTTCTTCTAATCTTTATATATAGATTGGCATATCCCCTCCGAGTAGCATTCTAATGCTGGTTCCAAACTAAAATAATTTTTGAAAACTAAAATAGCCCTTTGTTGCTGAGAACAGAAACAGCTATTTCTTAATTTAGATTCGTGAAGAAGAACTCTCAACTCTGACATAAATTGTGTGCATTGCCTTGCCCAGAGCCCCAGGCTCAGGTTTGGGCATTGTTGCTCAAAGGAATCTGGGTAGAAACACTGGGAAAGTCCTTGCCTAACAGAGATTTGAATATTCTGTTTGGGTAGGCCACTGGGCTGATTTAAGATAACCTAGTCGTTTACAGTCCAAAACAACAAGATCTGTGTTTGCTATTTTAAGTGACCCAATAATTAATTGTGCTATAATAGAAAGTTAGGATTATTGGATTCAAATCTTGCTCCAATCCAGTTTTTGGAATTGTGGTTTTCAAACTGGATTCTGGAGAACCACATAAAAGCAGTGAATTTCATCAAAATTCCCTTAGGGAATTTTTGTGGGGACCACAAATTACATAATTCCCAGTCATCTTGATGGAGGCTCATGTGAGCTGAGATAGTTGGGGAATGCTGGCATGCTTAGTTCATGCTGACACCAACAAACTAAAATGTTGTAGGGAATCTTTGCAACACATAGCAGGAATCCATGGCAAGAAAGGATGTCCTAAAAGGCAGGTGTGAAAATGTTTTTTTCAGAGTAGAAAAAAAAATGAATAGACCCTTCTCTATTGTTTTGCAATAATTTGTCAGCAATGCATAGAAAAAAGCCATCATTTATGGAATCATGATGACTCACTCACTGCAGCTATTTAATTCTCATCTTTGTTGATGTGGAAGGAGAACAAAAAATTCTCTACAGTATATGATTTGAAGGCTTTCAGTATTTTATACAGTATTTCAACTGCTCTTTCAATAGTTTTCTTCATCTGTCTCAGTTCATTTTTATTTGATTTCATTTAAAAGAATAAGCATTTTTCACTCTATGCTAGGCAAACTGAGTTTTGAAACTTTTGCAACTGCAGCATTTTTAAAGTTCAATTGATATTCTGTGTCATCACAAATTAGGAATCAAAGTCACTAGGAAGTCTTTGTAAGAGTAGAATGAAAGAATCATAAAAAGTTTAGGCAGCACTCAAATAAGTTTTTTCTCTGGATTAAAGCAAAGCCATAACCATGGAGCAACCCTGCATATAAACAGACTCCAGTAATGCCCAGTCTCCCAGTCTTTACAAACCAGTTATTAACTCCATCTGTCCCAACCAACCAATATGGGAAATGTCTACCATAGCTGGACTAAAGTGACCAGTTCCTGCCATGAGGTGCTGCATAAGTCACTTTGGACGAAGGATTTCTTCAGGCAAAATTGAAGTGCACGATCATCAGGTTAACAAATCCTGCCAATAACCTTTGTTAAGGCAGCTTTAAAAATCAGTAAGTGGGAAGGCAGTGATCTCCAGAACCATTCTGTTTTAGATCCTTTCATTTGCCTAAAAATACACTTGCCCTTTAAGTACATGGCACAATGTCTATATGTATGAATGTGGAACATCATCAAACTGCAAATGAGCAACACAGTAAATTAACTTTCACAAATAAGTCTGCTTTCCTTTTATTTAAAATAAACGTGTGTGTGGGTGCGTGTGCGTGTGTGCGTGTGTGTCAAATTTAAAAATATAAGTTACAAAGCACCAAGCTATGCATGTACTTTTGATGTAATAGGTATATGTGCGTGTTGTGGGGGAAGCGATCACCACTGCATGCCACGAGCCTCGCTTTACTTGTCTGGTTGTTGTTTTAAGCACTTTAAAAAAAAAGGTTAAAAAAATAAATAAAACAGAAATCTTTGAGCACTGTGTATGAAGGACTGATGACATATCTTTCGCATGGATTTTATTATGTACTGTTTTTTTTAAAAGGGAAACAAAAACAATAGACCACCACTCTATTAAAAAAATGACACCATAACAAAACTGGTTACTGAAACAAGCAGTCTGAAATGCACTGTAAGTTTTGTAAATCTTTTCTGCTATCTGTAGGTAGAGTCCTATGTATAAATTTTATGCCATGTTTTCTTCTGTGACAACTGTGATCTTTGTTTGTCAGAAATTCCAAATGAAGGAAGGTTGCTTTTTTCCTTTACTTTTTCTTTTTTCTTTTTTCTATTTCTGGTGTTTCCTAGCAGTGTGTCTGAATTTAATAAAATACTCTTTCCTCCCCATAACACTTTTCTTAAGGTTTATTTCTTAAGGGGTTATTCCTTTGAAAAAACAGATGCGAATTACAGTTTTAAGGGTTTTCTTTAAAAAAAAAATGTGATTTACAGTTTTGCTTAGAGGCAGGTATTTCGGATTCCATACAACCAAAGAAGTTGAGCAGATGGAACAGGAACAAGAGTAGCTGTGTCCTCTGTTTGAAGAAGCCTTTGGTCTTGAGGGATCTTTCCAGGCTGGCTTAAAGGTAAAGAAGGGAAAGTTGGCCCAGAGGTGACATCTTGGCAGCAATCAGGACTGAATGCAGACCATCTCCCCTGCTGTAGGAAGGAATTCTACACTGTATTTCTATTTAATTTACAATCCTTGGGTTTAAATTAGTTTATAAATTAGCATGTTAAATACTAAGCTGTTCTTATGTACACCTTTTGCGGAGTGTATAAACTGTATAAACACCATATCCTTTACATTGTCACTTCTTATTGACTGATTTCCAGATTTGGAGCTTACCAGAAGATGAGGGTTTATCTTTTATGATGTACAGCCCACTTTCTGTTTTCTAAGCTCTTAGATGGAGAGATACGAGCACATTATGTCATGCCCTCATTTTTGTAACATCCATGCTGCTCTGTCGAGAGCTCAAGAAAAGGAAGATAGACTGCCATATAAGCAGAAGATGAAGAACAAGTAAAAAAAAAAGAGGACCAAAAGTGGAAAAAGGAGAAAGGCATCATTGCACACTAATTTACTCCTCCAAATTTATTCCAGATTAGATCTTTAAAAAATTTTCACATCTAAATTCTGTCTATTTTGATTAATAGTAAAATTGACTTGCTGTTACTATTAACAATTTTCTACATTTTATTGTTGCAAAATAATCTTGAAACTTAATTGATGTTTGATAAACCCTCTGAAGCTACAAGAAGAGAGTTCCCATATGATTATGTACAGTTTCAGTGCCTGATATAATTCACTAATGCTTCATATGCGTGCAGGAAAAATATCAACTGTGTAATATGTGGAAGCTGCATAATTTAAAATAGTAGGGATCTCATAGTGTGTTTATTTTAATGTATTACAGTGGAGTGTGAAGAGAACTTTCTTTTGTTAAACTTCTGCTTATGGATAATTGGTAATTGATGCAAATAAATCACATCTAATAGCATACTTTCAACACTATTAATCCATAGTGTGTTTTACTAGCTAGAGCTAATGCTTTAAATAAGTAAGCAAACTTGTTTTTTGAATAAGGCAGTTTATTTCCAATATATATATAATTGTAATTTTGGGGCTATATTTAAAGCAGAATTGTTTTGTTTGACCATATATATTATACAACATAAAGATGAAAAGAGGGACAAACCATGCAAGGAAGTTTTGTTTTTTCTAAAAAAAAAAAAAAAACACCACCAAAATATCTACGGTTGTATAACTTCCATTTTAAAAAGGAAAAAAATAAAAGTCTTGGGCTTCCCCCACTCCCCTTAAAATCCTTATAAACTCTTTATCATATGTTACACATGTAAAAGCTATTTACAAAATAAAAGTGAAAAAGGTGAATAAAACTTTACAGCACATAGTTGCATAAAAGGGTAAGGACAACGTATTACAGTACAGCCAACTACTTAATTTTGTTCAGTTTTAAATTCCACACCTGCACACATCTACATGCTCCTTTTCGAAGTCTCAATGGAATTGTGGTAAGACACATACTTAGAACACATGGAAGACAGAGCAAAGCAGAGACGAATTTTCTGCTTCTTCAAATACAGCACAAACTGTACACCTATTAGGGAAGTTGTAGTTTCGGTGCCTTGTGGTTTACCTTCCTTTTATGTTTCCAATAGCACAGAGTTTAAGTCCTTTACATCCCATTAGGGATTGACTTTCAAAGTCACAAACAGGCCAACACTAGAAGATAGATGGGCGTTTTGCAGAGGAGACATACAATTACCTAAATCCTAGGTGAGCTTTCAAGTTTCATAGACTTTTCTTCAAGCAGAAGCAATAATGGAGTCACATGAACAATTAAAATTTGAAGTTTTTAAGATTGTTTACCTCAATGAAATATGTTAATACATTTTATACATTTACTGACCACCTCTTAGGCTAACACTTCAACCACCAGATACTGAAGAGCCTGTAACAAATAGGGAAAGAAGTCTTCTCATGAAAGGCACGTATAGACAACTTGGGACGTCTCCCTCAGAACAAAAAAATAAATAAAAAATGAAACAGGTATGCTTGTAAGAAGGGCTTGAAGAGAAGTCAACATGGTAGCTGCAAGTAGATGATCATAACTCTGTCCTTTTTTCATATGTTGCACACCAGATGCATATAAAAAAACAGCTGCCATTTGACAGCACCAAGGAGGCACTTCTGTAATACTTTGACTTCAATTGAAATTTTTGAAGTATAAACCACCACTTTAGCTTGCAGTCCAACTCTACTTCACATGGAACTGGGTAGTCTCAATCTGATGGATTTTGTCTGGAAGGGAGAATCCAGTTGTGAGCAAAAGAGATGCTTTTTCACACATACACTGGCAGTGAGACAATGAATCCTTAAGAATGATTGCAAAATGGTTTTTTTAAAAAAAATCACATACAGACAGACACTGAGCCATTATTATTAAATAATAACCCAAGAGATAATCAGGAATATCCACCAGCATGGATTGTTCAAAAAGTCAAGATCGTATGAGAGAAATGTTGCACCTGAACAATGGAAACTCTGCCTCTTTTTCATCATGCATCACAGAGCTTCAATTGTTGAATCACACAAACCATCTTGACTTTCTGACACACCCCCATGACACCTCTGGCTACAATATGCTGCAAGTTTTTAAGGAAAGGGAACTGGGGCCATATAAAGCACCAGTCACTTGCCCAGATCCAGAGGCAAGAGGTTGGTCTAATTTCATGTGGGATTGTTTTGCATCTCTTTATAATCACTGAAAATTCTATCAGATAACTTTTAAAAATGGTTGTGACAGTTCAATAAGAATGTTTCAAATGTTTGAAAGTTCAGTATAGATCAGGGGTGTCAAACTTTAGGCCCGTGGGATGGATCAAGCCCGCAAATTGCTTAAATCTGGTTCACGGTGCTGGCCTGGAAACAGCAAAGGACCGGCCTGCTGTGCCTTTGACAGCCAAAACAGGTGTGTGTGTGTGTGTGTGTGTGTGTGTGTGTGTGTGTGTGCACATCCTATTTCAGCCTGGACGGCCTCCTGAAGCACTCTGCTGGCCAAATGGGGTGAGGGGGGTGCATGCATCCCCCCACACACCGTTTTGGCTGGCAAAGTACTGGAGGCCATCCAGGCTGAAAACGGGGTGTGGGGCCCACACACACACAGCCCCCCTTCACCCCATTTTGCCTGGCAGGGTGCTGCAGGAGGTGTCCGTCCCGTCTCCCGGCTGGCCCACGAAGGAGAACTACAATGCTGATCCAGCCCTCGAAGAAATCCAGTTTGACACCCCTGGTATAGATGCTACATACAGTGTACTTTAAAATTGTTTTTACCTGTTCAGTTACCAAGCCACCAAGACTAGCTTCATCAAGACAGACAGTACTCCTGACCTTTCATTTCACAGTGAAAATGAAGACAGGTTTGAGAGGCCTGTTCTGTTCTTGGTTAGGAAGTTACAGAATGAATATTATCTTTGTCTTTGCAACTTTACAAGTGGAGAGAAGCAGTAACCAATAGGATCTTGACCTTGCTGTATAAACAGGAGCTCAGTTTTGCACCAAAATACAAATTGCTCACCCCTCACTCCCTTTAAAAATAAAATACTTGGATTAATTATCAAGCTGGCAAGCTCCCATTCATTGTCATTCTGTTTTGGTCCTACTGCTGCATCTGTGGTGACACATACTTCCTGAAAATATAACATTGCAACTCTGCAGGGACTGTTAATATTGCATTGGGTCAAAGTGTGACATTTAGTGCCTAGTGTTGCTGTCAATTGATGTTGGCGGAGAAAAACCATCAACTTTAATGCACTTTGTTCTTAAAAAATCCAGATACAAAAGCGTTTCTTCATGATAACATCTTTACAAAGAATTAACCTACAGCTAACCCTTCCTACAAAAAATAGCCATCTGTCATTAAACCAGACATTGTAGAATGAGCTAGGCAGACTACAGTGAAAAATGTACTGTACCACGTCTATAACCAGTGTGGCATACCCATTTAGGTGCTGCATTTAATATCAGCAAGACCAGCATTGAAATCTATCCTTAACCAAGGACATCTTGTCCCTTGCCTGTTCTTGTTGTGTATTGGTTTTGCATTATAACCTAATATATTCATTGATTTTTTTTAAGCCTTAAGTCTTATATTTGGTGTTACAACTGGAATGTCATCCGTGTGTAATACCTGGAATAAGATACATTAACAAAACAAAACAACATGTGGTAAGAGAGTTATTTCCATGAAAATGATATTTCCTTTTCATTCAGTGATAACGATTTTGGAATGTATCAGCAAATACTGAAATTCAAGAGTAATTTGTCACTTTTTCTATTATTATTATTATTTTGCAGAAAGAGTACTTTTGATGTAGGCTATGCTATACACAGCAGTTTGCTCTGAGACACCCACTGAATTTCAAGAATGTCAGGATTTTGATTTGGTTTCCCCCCAAAATGACTTTTTCATTTTCTTTTTCAATTAAAATATATGATAGGAAAGTGGAGAAAGTTATTTCACAGCAAAAAATTTTTCTTAAGGGTTATGCAACTCCTTCCAAGGGGGTAAGAATTTTGTATTGAGACACAGGGGTGAAATAGTAACTATTACACACCAAAACATGTATCTTAAAAGATCATCTCTCATATTTATTCATAACAAGATTACTTCCTGCTTTTATGACCAAATGAAATTCTACAGAGACATAAGGGAATCTTTTATATCCACAAGATAAAAACAAATGTTAAGTCTCTCATTTTGAGGGAATTGCAAGAAAGAGCAAAATGGAAAACTCTACTTGATCGGCAACATGTAATAAAATGGCTCCTTGGTTTACTTCCATGTGGTATAATGAGAAAACTAAAGAGAAAGACACTGTAGAAAATAAATGTAGCACCATGAAAATCAAATATTGCTGTTTTGTGAGAGAGAGTGAGTTGTGAAAGTTACCAGTAAAGCAGAAAATGGCACGGACTTGACATTTCAGCCTTTCATCATAACAAAAGGCTTGAATGGAATCATGTCAATTTACGCTCTGGAAATTCTAAAAGAATTTTTTTTTTAAATCACTGAGGCTCCATTTTGGCACATCTGCACAGGGCCCTGGTGTGTTTTTCCTCTACCTCTTCTTGCTCTTTTCCAAACCCAAAAATCACATAGCGCCTGTACTCATCCTTTCTCCCACTGAACATAGGAGGTCACATAGAAAAGCACTGTTAACTAAAACACGGTACACATATGCCACCTTAGCAGGTGATTCACTCCACACAGTTACCATTTGCATAAGCTAATTTTCTCCCTAAAATACTGCCCTCATGTATTCTGCATACAGTATTGTGTTAATGGTGTTAATCACATCTGTTTCCCCCTAGACTCTACTATCTGTTATGAGGGGATAGGACAGAGAGTGCTATTCAAATGGGGATACTGTCACAGCCTGAAAGGAAAAATCAATCTGGAAAAAGTTTGCATTCTTAGCTAAGACTTACAAGAAAATCTTAGATGAGCTAAGCAAAAAATGGGACTATATTCTTAAAGGCACAGTGGTTGTACCATTTAGTACTGTATCATTTAGAATTCATATCATCAGTCGTATATATCATGTTAGTCTTGCAACAAAACCAAAGCATTTTGAGATGCTGTTAAATGCCAGCAGATTTACTGCAGCAAAGCTTTCAAAGCCAAAGCTGCAATACATCAAATAATGTGATGCCATAGATCTCTTTGTGACTTTTGAAAATTAGAAACGACATCACTTTAGGGCAGGGGTGTCAAACTGGCGGCCTGTGGGCCAGTTGCGTCACGTGCAGACCACGCCCACCCCAGTTCCTCAAAGGCAAAAACGTTGCGATACGTCATGTGACACGATCGAGTTTGACACCCGTGCTTTAGGAGGAGGAGGAAAACAGCAGTGCCCTTTACATGTGGTAGAGATTATGCACCTTTCAGGACCATTATACCTCTGCAGTTTTCACATGAAATAGTCTTCAAGTGCAGCTGAGACTATACCATACATAATCCTGAGTTTGCTTATATCTACAAGATTTTGATGCATGTGCTAGAAGTCAAGATGATATAACCCTCCCTGTAGGAACCTGACAAAGGCCAAGCTATGATAGATGGAAGATTTTGGAATTTGCTTTTCTAGAGGAAAGGTAGAAAAGGAGCAATGGATATTTT